CTATTCGTATTTTTTCTTTTTCTTTTCAGGATATAAAATTATAATTAAATGGTGAATCGAAAATGAACTTAGTTTATAGGTACGTCCTTTCACTCCGAAAATTTGGGTTTGACTGACGATCTGTCAGCATGAGCGTGTAATGTCCAAATTATTCCATCATTTAAACCTCAGTCATGATCGATCGAACTGATTGACGCTTGCCTAGGCGTGTAATGGGCGTTTTACGATTTAGAACGACCAGTCGGCGCCCGCGCTTCCATAGATAAGAGTGTACGCGCTTCGACCTAAGTGGGTGTCTTGACTGCGCGTGCGACATTTTTTTGCGATGGCGAGTGAAGCGACAAAACTGAGCAGTGGTTCGTGTGGCAGCATGTCCACAGAAAAGGAGGTGTTATTACAAATTATAGACCTGTATAGGGTAAATGACCTATTTGTATAATAAAAATTATTAAAACTATTTAAAAAAAAAGCAATGCGTGAAAAGGGCTTCAAGGTGTTGTTAAATATTTACAAATACGATGACAAGTATTCCTTAATCCAGCATATTCTGTTTTTTCTTTTTTTAATATCCATTGTTCCCACCACGGCTAAGACAAGTCCTATTTTCTGCTGTTTTGATAAATACGGCGCCATCGATCAAACGTGCAACCCCGTCGATACTTCTTTTACTAATGTGCTTCGTCACGATTTAGAATTCAATTTAGTGTAATGTGATCACTAGCTTCCAACTTAGGTTTCTAATTAGATTTTCTAAAAATTGGATAATGTAATAAGCGCTTTAGAATAGTTAGGATCCGATTTAGTTAAAATTGGAGGTCCCGACCGCTCTACTTTCTAAATTGTCTACAATTTAGGACAGTGTGATCGCAACGTTACGATTTAGAACGACCAGTCGGCGCCCGCGCTTCGACCTAAGTGGATGTCTTGACTGCACGTGCGACATTTGTTTGCGATGGCGCGTGAAGCGACAGAATTGAGCAGTGGTTCGTGTGGCAGCATGTCTACAGAAAAAGAGGTGTTATTACATTGAGTTATATGTACTACGTACTAGAGAAGCTATTCCAAAGTTTGGAATAGCTTCTCTAGTAGTTATAGGCCAATTTGGCATTCCCTTCCAAGTGACCCCAAAACTGCACACTATTAGATATGTCGACGCCTTAAAACTGAGGAGATACGACAAAGGGGTTCTTTTTAGCGGTATACGTGCAAATTTGTGTCTTCTGGGGATTTAACTGGACTATATTTAGCCGCCCTCAATCCGAGACTTTGTTCAGCAAAGAATTGACATCAGACACAAGTTTATTCCGGTAGCGCCGTGGTAGCTCAGATGGTCAGAAGTCTCACAGTACGAGAGAAACTCGGGATCGATCCCCGCCGGCACCAATGAAATTGTTAATTGCAATTTTAAGTGCCGATTTACCACGTGCTCGGCGGTGAAGGAAAACATCCTGAGGAAACCTGCATGTCTGAGAAATAAAAAAAATATATCTCGAAGACGTGTGAAGTTCGCCAACAAGCATTGAGGCAGCGCGGCGGACATTTACTTGCCCTAAAACCCTCTCAGAAATAAGAGGAGGCTTGTGCCCAGCAGTGGGACGTAAAGGCTGCAACTTTATTTTACTTTACTTTTGTTCCGGTACTCGGAGACGTTTCCCGAGAAATATTGGCACGGCCGGTGTATATTCCATCACCAGTGCTGTCGTTATTATCAGTTTGCAAAATATCATTGATATGCAGTGGAAACAGCGTTGGTGATAGCACGCAGCCTTGTGGTACACCAGCGTCAATAGGCTTGTAATCAGAGCATGCACCGTCTACTACGACCTTGATGCTCCGATCAGCAGGGAAATTGGCGATCCAATTGCACAATTTCTCGGGAAGCCTATAGGAAGAATTAGAAAGAAGCGCTTTGTGTAAACCCGATCGAAGGCCTTCGCAATGTCCAAACTAACGGCCAATGCCTACCCCTTGGACTCTACTGCCTCCGCCCATCTATGAGTTAGATAGACCAGAAGATCACCAACTGATCAACCCCGACGAAAACTGTTTATAATGGATCCCATTATTTTGGAGAACAGGGAGGTGATGGCGATAGGCCTGTACGGGTCTGAGCGGTCGCCTTTTTTAGGGATCGGGTGAACCGAAGCTGTCTTCCATGAATTTGGGATAACGCCTTAGGAGTAGAAGTACCGGAAAAGACGCGTTAAAACAGGTGCCAACATCGGAGCACACGTCTTCAGCAGAATGGAGGGAACCGAGCGCTGTGTAAGCCGTACATCTGGCATGGAGCACTCAAACCGCGGGATGGTCGGCGGTATATTCCTCCGTCATCGAGAGTCGAGTTGGACACAAAAAGAGAGATTAACAGATCGGCTTTTTCCTCTACGGCATGGACTCAGTGAGTCGCCCTCTCTTTGCAAAGATGGCTGACAGAAGTTCCCTTAGACAGCCTTAGCAAAAGACCAGAATGCACGGGTTACCGAAGGAAGGCGTACTAGCCTCTCACCAACTTCGCCAATGTGCTCTGACCTTGCCTTGGCAATTAATTTTGAAGACCCTGGAGGCGGAATTATACTTCTTTTGAAGAGCGCTGGTGTTTACATCTCGATACATCAACGTCTCGGAATGTAAAGATGTCGTCAGCCCAGTGCTGGTGCACTCTTGCTTATAGTGTGATGTTATTTTACATGAGCAACCAAACTATGGCTGGAATCTGCCTCCGATGGGCACCACAGAAGATGGAATAAAAAGTTCCATATCCTCAAGTATCACATCAGCGACAGAATCAGCAACATTGCTGGGATTGTCCAGCGAGAAGCAAATTCGCCCTCAAGGGTAGAATGCAAAAAAAGACCGTATCCTTTCCCGATCGGCCGATCTATAGTGCCAAACACGGCGGCTGTCTGCAGAATGCAACCGCGAAGATAGTGTGAGTGACATCACCCTCCGGACAAGACAATGGCTCTAGGAGCCGTGAGGGGTGTCGACGGAAACCTGATATTCGTCCGGATAAGAGGTCAGCAGAAGTTCCAACAGGGAAGGCGCATGATCCTCCACATCTGAAATCCGCGTAGGCAAAGTAACCAGCTGTGCAACCAGCTGTGCAACCAGCTGTGCAACCAGCTGTGCAACATTTGTTTATGACTTTGCCAAGGCAAAGTCATAAACAAATTTCCCCAAATGATCGGTTAAATGTGAACCAAGCCATTCGGCGTAATGGTCGTTAAAATCGCCAAGGATCACGATCTCTGCGGATACCCCCACTCCCCTCCCCCGTATACCAGAATACGCGGGGCAGCTTGAGCACACATGCTCAGGAACAGTAGGGTAGCTTAGGCGTGGGTGCTCAGTGATGGATTCTCCGTCACCAGGGTTCTGTTACCCTCCTGGGGTAATTTTTATTTGATTCCGCTACCATACTTTACGGGGGGGGGGGGGGGGAATTGGGCCTCCAACCACCTACACCTACCAAGTGAAACGCAGAAGTTAACTTCTACTTCACGCTGGTATTCTGTGAGGTCGTGATACTACCCTGGTTCGAGCTGGCCCATCCATGCGATAGCAAAAGCTGCCGCGTGGCTCTATCACTGTTAAAACGTAAACATGGAATAAATTCTTTTACTTTTTTCTGCCCATCATAAATAAACAACCGATACACAAGAATAAATTATTTTCTTCATTATGAGACAAGTCCAGTCTTAACGAATAAACCGAACGCCAAACTCCAACTACACACACTGATCGCGACTAAAACAATGTATCGCTTAAAGGCAGATAATTGATAAGTGTGCCCGCATGAGGCGATGCCGCATAAGCACCTCGCAACGTGAATCTACCCGTCCTATTCATAACTGCCTTTACGTTTTACGGAATTAACCGGTTAATTTGGGTGTCGAAACCGTTAAGTAACCGGTAACCTTTACCGTCTAGGTTTAATAAAAACCGGTTAATTTTTTAACCGGTAATTAAAGGAGCGATAAATTTACCGGTAATTAATCGAAATTAACCGCTCTTTTAAAACCGGTTCCGAGCCCTGTTCCAAACAAAAAGTGTGCGCTACTCTATGTCTTCGCGCATGCGCGGAAGATAGTAGAGTCGCGCATGCGCAGTTGATATAAGCGCGTTGCGCCTGCGCGGTAAGTTTTTGTCATCATAGATTAAGATTAGGTATATATGTACGAAGGTGGAATGATCAGTATATGATAATTGTTTATTTATATTTTATTGTTAATTATATCGAGTACAATTCTTTTATCGTTATATTTATTTTGCATATGTGCTAATTTAATATAATATGACATAATATTATGTCACAATTATATTTTAATGATATTTTAAAAGGTAAACACGTAAAATATAAAAATATACATTTATATTATATTATAATATTTATTTTTATATTCGTAATATAAAATATTTTAATTTAATCTAAACAAACATATTTCTAAATAAAATGTAATAATAATTATTTTATGGAATTCACAAATCTTCAATTTACGCAATATTTAGTTTGTATGGATTGCACTACAGTTCAGTTGAACACAGTCAATGTTCGGAATGGCTTCTCTAGTACGTAGTACATATAAATCAATGAACGCGTGTTACAAACAATCGTGTTGAGCTACATATATATTTATCTATGGTGTTGAGGTGTCTCCTCTAGTACGTAGTATATATAACTCAATGTATGTACAAATTATAGACCTGTATAGGGAAACGCCCTATTTGTATAATAAAAATTATAAAAACTATTTAAACAAAGCAATGCGTGAAGAGGGCTTCAAGGTGTTGTTAAATATTTACAAATCATTCTATTTGTAAATATACAAGTATTCTTTAACCCAGTATTCATGACGCCATCCATTTTAGGATGACGTTCATTTGTGGTAGTTCGTCTGTCGTCTAAGCCTTGTTCGGAGTTATTTTGCACTGTTACAGTGAATTTTGACTATTTTGGAGCTTTTTTGTTCATTAGTAAAGGGTAATTGAGCAAAAACAACATGACAAAGTGTTGCATCAATGGATGTAATTCAAATTCTCGTAAAAATGAAGAAGGATTGACATTTTTCAGGTTAGTTGTAATTTTTTTCCATAATTGTATATTTTTTCGTGTGAATTGTGTTTCGTGTTCATGTTATGGGTTCTAAATCGTGTTTCCCGCTATTATCTAGAATTTCCAACGACTATTATCATGTAAATTTAAACAAGGAAACATTTTGATTGTTTACATTTTTACATAGTGTTGCCCTTACGTGCTGTCATGTTTTGAAATTATCGATATAAATTTTAACAATAATCTTAATGTAGTCCTATGATAAAATAACGTTTTAGATACGTAAACTGTATATTTAATCAAACGATCTATTGAGAGCCTTTCATTTAAGAAAAGAACTTGAAAATAGTGTAAATCGTAAATTTTCTATAATAGTTTTTTTCATCAAAAGATTTGATGATGTTAATATTATTTTTGGAAAGACTTTCCATTGACGTCAGTCGAGTTTGGTGTTGATACGTATTTTTACAGAAAGATTACATTTTTATAAGCACACACACAAAGTTTCAATATGCGGAAAGGAAACACGTACTTATTGAGAAAAAAATATTGTAAATTAAATAATTTTGCAATATTTAGTCAATTCCTACCGTGAAACTAACGCCATTTTTATTATTATTGTCAGTAGGGAAGTCGATTCTTTCCGAAAAAGATCGATTTTTTAAATAGATTCGAATTTTAAGCTGATTCCCAAAAAATCGATTTCTAAAATATCGATATTTTTTCATGTTTGCATTTATAATGTAAATATAAATCCATTTTATGAGAAAAAAATCCCCTTCATCATAAAAAAATAAGGGGACTGATTCAGAAGGATTTCTGTATCTATTTTGAGACTGCTACGTCTCCGGTGCTGCGGGAAGAGCAGCCTCTACGCCTTAGCGTAACAAATCGTAGGCATAAGACGCTGGTTGGTCGCCTTCGGCGACCAGCCTCAGCCGCTCCGGCTCGTCCGATGCCTACGATTTGTTACAACAGGCGGAGGCTGCTCCCCCTACGCGCCTCTGGCTCTATAAAACCACTCTAGGGGTAGGACAGACTCGTACCAGGTGGAGTCGGGGTCAATCAATTCGGTTCTTTGACATAAGTTGAACCTAACCTATTTTATTTGTTATCTGCCCTAATAGGTACTGTTAAATAAAACAAATTTCAATAAGAGATCATTTATCATGGTATCTTTCTTGTTTTTCATAAAATGGGCTTATATTTACATTATAAATAGAAACATTAAAAAAATATAGATATTTTAGAAATTGATTTTTAATACAAACTTAAGCGGGTACCGGGAGACTGGTGCAAAGCCGTGATAGTCCCAATATATAAGGGAAAAGGATCACAGCAGGACTGTAAAAACTACCGTGGTATCAGCCTTCTTAGCATTGTGGGAAAACTGTATGCTAAGGTACTAATTGAAAGAGTTATGAAAGAAACTGATGGAAAAATTTTTGATGTGCAAGCGGGATTTAAAAAGGGAATGGGATGTACGGATCAGATCTTTTCCATGCGCATGATTGCGGAGAAGTTTTTGGCTAAAAACCAAAAAGTTTTTTGTGCGTTCATGGACTTGGAGAAGGCTTATGACAGAGTGGACAGGGATGTGTTATGGCAAACACTGAACTCATTTGGGTTGACCGCTGGTCTGATACAGGCATTGAAGTCTCTATATAGGGACTCTAGTGCTTGTGTCAGGATCAACGGGGCCTACTCGGACTGGTTTGACATCCATAAAGGTGTCAGACAGGGCTGTGTGGCTTCCCCGTGGTTGTTCAACCTATTTATGGACAGTTGTTTGGAAAATTTGAAAGTAGAAGAATGCGGGTTAAGAATGGGTGAGTTAACCGTCAAATGCCTTTTGTACGCCGATGATCAAGTCATACTTGCATCGTCGGCAGCCGAGTTGCAAATGATGGTTACATTAATGAACAGGACATTAAAAGAAAAGGGAATGAAAGTGAACGCAAGTAAGACGAAAGTTATGGTTTTTGAAAGAGAAGAAAGTAAAACGATATGTGAAATAAGAATAGAAGGGGAGTTGGTAGAGCAAGTAGATGAGTTTGTATATTTGGGATGTGTGTTTAGCAGGGATGGTAGATATGATAAGGATATAGAACGACGAGTGAATGCAGGAAATAGAGTGAATGGGGCTCTACACTCTATTGTGAAAAGTCAGAATGTGTCCAAAAAGGCACGTATGGCAATTCACAATGCTGTGTTAGTACCTACTTTAATGTATGGTAGTGAAAGTTGGGTGTGGCAGAAGAAGCATGAAAGTAGAATAAATGCTGTAGAAATGCGGTCATTAAGGAGTATGTTAGGGATGAAGCTGAATGACAGAGTGAGAAATTGTTTAATAAGAGAAGAGTGTGGTTTGCAAGATGATGTTGTGACCAGGATTAAAGAAAGGAATGCTTCGGTGGTTTGGCCATGTAGAAAGAATGAATAAGGAAAGAGTGACAAAGCAAATTTATGTTGCAGAGGTGAACGGCATAGTCGGGAAGGGTCGCCCTAGGCGAAAGTTTATCGACCAAATTGGCGATATATTAAAAATGGGCCATATCAAGAGTACCTTTAACCAACGAGCGTGTATGCGTAGGTATATGGATGTGGAGGCGAGAGAGGTGTGTCAGGATCGTGCCAAATGGAAGTCCATAATCTCTGCCTACGCCTCTGGGTGACAGGCGTGAGTGTTTATATATGTATGTATGATTTTTTGTGAACCGATACATCAGCTTACGATTTGAATCGATTTAAAAATCGACCTTTTTCGGAAAGAATCGACATCCCTATTGACGTCGCAATAACATTACAAAATGGCGCCAGTTTTATGGTAGGATTAGACATAAACATTGCAAGAATAATTGATTTTCAATAATTCTTTTCTCAAAAACTACGAGTTTCCGCATGTTGAAACTTTGTGTGTGTGCTTATAATAGTGTAACTTTTCTGTAAAAATACGTATCAACACCAAACTCGACTGACGTCAATGGAAAGCTAAGCCTTATTTTTTTTATTGGTACTTAAGGATGCATAATATTTATTTTTAGGTTGCCAAAAAATGAAGGCCTTCAAAAATTGTGGATTGATAATATAGGCCAGGAAAACATAAAACCTGCAGTAGTAAGAAGAATATGCTCCTTGCATTTTGAAAAAGAATGTCTAAATAGAACGCTGGGTGTAGTTCGGCTTAAGGGTGATTTGGTTCATGTGTCTAAAATAAATTTTCTGACTAAATAATATTATTTCGTCACGAATAAATGATTTTAATCAGTATACATTATTGTTATTTTTAATCCTTACTCTCTCGTTTACCTCCAGTATCCACCACTAATTACGCTACTGGTGGAAGTCATTACAACTTGCAGGTTGTAAACACTATAAAATTGATATTTTGTGGTGTTACACAAATGGAATATAATGACAAATTGGAAGTCTGAAGTGGCGCAGCCACCCCTATTGATCGAAATGTTGCATGGAAATTGGTTGTCATATGGTATGAACGTGGGATGCTAAAGATTGAGGAATACGTTAGGATAGTTCAATGATTAATGGATTGTGTGAACGGTGGTATGGTTAGAAAGGGGCTGCTCAACTCGATTAGATTACTGAGATAAATAAATAAATAATCTTTATTATAAAAAAAAAAGAGATGACGGCTAGCAACTATGTATGAAAGAACACATGCTCCACAAACTTTAAATAAATCAAGATATTGTCAGTCTACTGCACGTTCATGGTGACTTGAACTGGTAACCGACCATTACTACGAAAGAAAGGTGTTGTCGAATCTTTATGGCGGCTTGGAAGTTAAGAGCGAGCGCTAGTCCGTGCAGATATAGTTGAAAGAAAACTTAATGGTGTCTCAGATCACAGTACGTAAAGCGAAGCGTGAGGGTACAGGACTTACGGTCGCAACTAACTTCCCAGCCGCTATAAAGTCTATATATATATATATATATATATGGCATAATTTACGCAACCTGGACGCATACCGTTGGGGCTGGTTCGATGTGGTGCAGGACAAAACCACTGGGAAAAACTTAGGGGAGACTTCTGCCTAGTAGTGGGACAGCATGGGCTGGACAAAAAAATCATACGAAGCCTAATACATTGCCTATAGTGGTGGTTTCGTTAATCTCTACAGAGGAGAAAAAAAAATGCATGCGTCGACCCAGGGACGCACGGATGGAGTGCTTATGTGCAGATTGCCGTCGTTACGAAAAAACGTTAGCTCGTTGCACGAACTCAGTATAATATTCTGGTGCACGTCGTATACGTGTTCTCAAAAGAAAGGAGTTAAAGCTCCAATCAAGTGCTCTTTCCTTGGTCTCTTCGCTCACTTTTGACTGTTGCTTCACCATATCTTAAAGCAATTACAGTTTCAAAACTTTCCTATTCTGAGTTGAACGTAAGATTTATTTATTTATCATCTCAATACAACTATTATTACAGGATTAACCCAATGCAATAGTGTAGTGATCTAATATTTGTTTATTTAATATATACCTCTGAGATGGACAAATACATCATAATTTATATAGCATCGATACTGAAGATATGGACAAAAACAACGCTGTTTCTTGTGGGTGGAGTCGCCGCCATATTTGAGAAACACTTGACTTCAGATCACGTGACCACATGTCATATCCCCTATTTTTCTTATATCTATGATTTTAATCGACCAATAATGTTGGCATAAACTTTACTTCGTTTTTTGAATCATGTGAAGCGGCGAGCGAAAAGTGATCTTTATATAAACTTTTAAACAGTTATTTGCAAGTGCATGTGTATCTGCTATGAACGCTACTGGAAGACGAATAAGCTACGTCCTACAGATGCTAAAGCAGCTACTATTGCGTGGTTCGTGAGTTCGTAATCTACTACGTATCTTGTAACGATCGCTTAGTTAAATCTACGCTCCTAGTAAGTCGTAAATTTCAGCTAATTTTTAAAGATTTTCCACCACTCTTTTATTATTATTTCCAAATTCCACGTAAAAGACCGCACGAGAACCCAAAATCTCATCAAATTTTTCTCCTTGACTGTTTTTTCCGTAAAGCCTTGAATAAATAAATTGCAAATCTCTTCCCATGCTTTTTTTTTAAATTACGATCGCTAAATTCTCTTCTTTTTTGATCCCATGTTACGTAACGACTTTGAAATTCACTTATAAGTAACTCTGCATCAATATCTGAATCTCCCAACGATGCCATGATGATACGACCACTCACATTCGTGTCTCGTTTTGAATTGAACCTAAGGCCTAAGGGTATTAGTGTTCTGTGAACTGAACTTCTCTATATAATATTGTAGTCTTTGAACTGAACATAGACTAATATATAATACTGAACTGAAGCAATATAATGTACTCTGTGAACTGAAGTGAGGCGGGGCGGACGGGCTGGCGTTTGTATGAGAGTGTACAAAATGGCGTCCACGCTGCAATTCGCGGCGATCTCGTTGCGCATCCGCGACGTATTACCTGCGCTGCGCGGCGTAGCGGTGTGTCCACAGAGTACTTTTTTATATAGGAATAATTACTGACAGATTGACTGAATTAACTGTGAATTTTGTGTGATTTCAAATAGCGGTGTGTTGTTATGTCTTTTCTAAATAACGCAACGTTATCGTTATGATACAACGGATAACGTTATCATAACTATCTATATTCATAACTGTCTATTTTCCATGTAACCGCAACTTAACAATATACCGTCATAGAACAGTTATCATCAAAATTATTTTCGTCGACTAAGTAAATACTAATTTAGTTGCTGAAATGAATTTTCCTTCGTACTTTTGATCTTTTGACATCTTTCTAGCATTTAAGGCATCCATTTTTCCTTATTTGTGTTGAGACTGCGGTACAGTACAGCTGATCGCATCACGGAAGTTGGATTACACATCGAAGCCTGGCTCAAAAAGTTTTTTAAGATAGTGCTGACGCAAGGAAGTTCACAGGTCTCGAAGATCTAGCAAGCGTTTGCTGTTCTAACGAAACTTGTGTGTACGCTTCTATATATCGCTGCCGTAAATGTAACTTCAGATAACCTGAAGTCGTATGAAAACTAAATTAGTTTTGACAAATATTATAACGCGCTTTTTTATTTAAATTATCAGTTTTTTTCGAAAAACTCCCACAAAACACAGTGTTTTGTCGCCTCATTGTTTCTTTGTTATGTTACAACCCAAAACGAAGCTATATCTATATTTACAATCACGGAATCAAATAAATATTTACAAAGGCCTTTTGTTCGTTTTTAGACTTCTTTTATGAACACTAATATCACTATGCGTGCTTTATAAAAAAATAAACTTGGAATTAGCAAATAAAGCAAAGTTTTTAAATAATAATATTACATCCAAAATTTTTATTGCACCTTGTCCGTCAGAGATCTAATTAATATGAAAACTCAAGTTCAAAAGTTGAAGGACAGAAGGCCAATAATAATATTTCATCTTAACAAGGTCAAGGCTATTAATGCAGTTTAATCCTTACATTTTGGGGCACAAGTGTTATTTTTCAATATATGGCAAAAACCCATATTTACTGTGTAGAATTTTATAATAAACAGCACGAGATTTAAAATTGCTTTATTAAAAAAGACACATTGACAATTTGAAATAGTTATACAAGTATCTATATGAAAAAGAATAATAATAAAATTATTTCTCGAATTTCGCTTCGCTCAACCTACACGTTTCAATATGAGCCCCGCTGCAGTTTCGTTCTTATCGTACACGGCATAACATTTGTTTTTGTACGGCAGCGAGTGCGTGATGTTTTAATATCACGAATCACGATTCCAAGCCAATGCAACGTTGCAGCGTTGCGGTTCAAAGGTATGTGCGTTGCGGATCGTTATAAGAAATAGACAGTTATGAGCGTTATGTATAACTATCACGTTGCAGCGTTGCGGTTCAAAGGTATGTGCGTTGCGGATCGTTATAAGAAATAGACAGTTATGAGCGTTATGTATAACTATCACGTTGCAGCGTTGCGGTTCAAAGGTACTCTATGCGTTGCGGATCTTTATAAGAAATAGACAGTTATGAGCGTTATGTATAACTATCACGTTGCAGCGTTGCGGTTCAAAGGTACTCTATGCGTTGCGGATCGTTATAAGAAATAGACAGTTATGAGCGTTATGTATAACTATCACGTTGCAGCGTTGCGGTTCAAAGGTACTCTATGCGTTTCGGATCGTTATAAGAAATAGACAGTTATGAGCGTTATGTATAACTATCACGTTGCAGCGTTGCGGTTCAAAGGTACTCTATGCGTTGCGGATCGTTATAAGAAATAGACAGTTATGAGCGTTATGTATAACTATCTATACGTTATAAAGTAAATAGACGTTTTCATAACTGTCTATACGTTATAATGCTCATCTAGCGCGGCAGATTCGTTGGGCGTCCGCGACGTATCCGCTGCGCGCCCGCTCCGCCCCGAAGCCGTTCGCAAACCGCTAGTATGATAAGGCCCTTATAGTAAAGGTCAAATTTTATTATAACTAAGAAGATTACTACACTTTTTTCTTTTAACAACAGATAGCGCTTATTTAAAAAGTATACCCTTATAACATTTACGTTATTTAATTTCAATAATATTTTTAAAAGTTGGAAGTAGCCTCCGTTAATTATGACGACAAACACCTCAGTCCACTTCGTGACCACAACGAATGCTTTAAATTGCCTGAAATTTAAAAACAATTAACTAGTTATTCTATGTGTTGTGTTGTGTTGTTGTGTTTTCGCTTAAATATATGAAATTTTGCACTTTATTAGTTAATAATAAAACATATGCATGCACCCGAGTTCAATTCAGTGAAATTGACAAGTTTATAAAAAATTACATAAAACTTGATAAAGAATTGCCCATAGATAAAAGTTGGGATCGCATTAATTCTGAAAATTCTTTAACAATGCATAAATTATTTAACAATTTTTTTTTATATTAATATTTACATATTTGGTATATAAGCTATACTACTATCATTTATTGTGGCTATACCTCAAAACACCTTAAAATTACTTGCTTGCTTAATTATCTTGCTTCCCATAGTACCGTGCGGAGGTATCTTTCATATTCATAAAAGGTTAGATACTGGTGTTTTTTATACCTGAAAAATCGCATGGCTTTCAATATAGATGGCGGTATTATTTATTTTATGCTAGACGTAAAAAACTCACCCTAGCCCTAGCCGGCCAATTCCTGACATAATCGAGTTCTAAAT